GATCTCGGCTTTCCACTCTATCTATCTCCCATTCATCCACGTCTGATCCAATGGATTCCTAACTCCTGAGCACGCCGCTAAATTTCCAAAAATCTATGAATAATTCAATTTAGCAATCTGGAAATGATACGTCCTGCTTGTACCGACATTTTTGTATCCATACTTTCAGGTAATACCCAAATACTTTAATCTTTTTTTATGAATGTAAATCTTAAAATCTCTGAAGGCCTTCAGCCCGGTGTAGTCTAATTAAATAAAATATAATCATTTATTAGCTACCCGTTTATTTCAAAAATCTTTTAATGATACATCATTATGAAAGTTTCAATAATAGAAAACGAACAAAGAAGTGAGAAAGAAGTAAATATATCTTTCTCACAGTTTGGAATTAAATTCAGATTAAACCGCTACAATTTGTTAGTGTGTCTACTTCTCTCAGTAGTAAGTATTAAACATGTTCTTGAACTATTTATATCATTAAATATGCAATCAGTAAGATAATTCAGGCTTAATTGAACTCTCGCTAAATAAAGTATCAATAGTGGATGATAACACTCAAAATGTATTGCATCCATGTTTATTTATGTATCGATGTTTAGTTCACGTAATACGAGTACTTAGTCGGGATCGCTTCTTGAAAGAAGGTTCAATTATTATGTCTATATATATCAATCTCTTATAAAAAATTCTGATCCTTAAATGCACATTGGTATATTAAGGCGTAAGTAAGGCGCAGTCTAAGATTTGTGATGACGCTGTGTGGGCGGGCGGCGGGCTGCAGGGGCGGAGCGGGCGTTCGGGGCCGTGATTGAGGCGCTGAGCTCTCGCGTCCTCAGGTGTCTTCTGCTGTCGTCGCTTATACAAGGGAAGAGAAATGGCGGTTTATAATTTCACGAGAAATGGCCTCTTAGAAGCTGTGGATCCTTGCTTCTGCCGGCTTTTTCATTCACCGGGCCACTTCACATCAAAAAGTCTTTTCTAAGATAACCCATTTTCTTTTCTGTATTATCTTCCTTTGAACTATCTTCCAAGTTGAGTAGCATGATTTAGTAACTTGAATATCTTACATTCGATAATCGGGAGAAATCAAGTAGATTTGAATTCAGTCCTACATTCACTAAATGTTTCAAGTTAATACTATATACCGGTATAACGTTGGCGAGCATAAGGGTGGTAAGTTAATATATAGTATAATTTGCATTAAGTATCTCCTCGCATAAATTTTTAATCTGTGTGAAATTCTATCTTTCCCAACCACACAGGGACAATACTGGACACCCTTTTTCGATCTTCGCGGGAGGGGTCATGACCAATTCGATCTCTGGGTTCAGAACCGTTATTCCTTGTGAATTGGCGAAATAATACCTCAGGGCGGAAAGAGGCCGTCCCCAGAGGCGGCCTCGATTGTTCAACTGTATGAGGCAAAATAATTCATCATCTCTCGGAGATAGCTTTTCACGCGCTACGTACCTCTCATGTCGTTTCTAAGCGGATGTTTTCGTCGAGTATTGGGGCAAATAGACCAGTGTAATAATTAGCATCTTTTATTTGCATTATTCAAATTACACTAAACATGGTAGAAATCAATTTAACAACCCCCATACTAAACTGCTGCACCAAATAGTGGTTTCAACTCAGACACTATTTGTGGATCTTCGCGCTTATTTTTGGTGTAATTTTCATAATTGTTTTTATTAAAATTGTTACTTGTTTTAAAAATTTGTCTAATTTCGCGTGTTTTTGTTCTGGGGATTCTCACGGCTTTATGAGTGGGCAACAGTCATTTTGAATCTGTTTATAAATTTTGCTATGTTTGCAAATTTTTTATTGTCTCTTTAAATGCACTTTAAATGCCAAAGTTACTTAAATTCGCGCAGAGTCAGCATCTAAAAATCATTTCAGCCCTCTTTCTTGCTTTCAGTCCTCATTCGCTTCTTTCGAGCTATATTGAAATCCATACGTCCGTCCTATCCGTAATTCTGGGGTTATTAAAATACAACTACTAGTACCAGGGCCACATCAAATGATTTTTTTCTGCGAAAATTTGCTGTTTTTCGTGCAGCATTTTTCGTAACTTTTCTCTCTTACTACTTCGCATATAACGTACGTATATACGAGAAATTTAAAACTGATGAGTTTTTTATTAATTTTTCTAAAGGCAAACTGTAATTTGATCTTGTTATATGTATTGATATTTGGAGAGGCTGATATTCATAATAAATAATAATAAATATATAATTAATAATATATGAAAATAATAATAATAATGATATAATAATATTAATATTAATTATTAATATTTAATATTAATATTAATGAATAATATAAATTAATTTAATAATAATAATAAACTAATAATAATTAATAAATAAATATAATAATAATGATAATTAATATATACTAATCTATCACTTAGTAAACTTATTTTTAAAGCCGGATAAGTAATTTATTCTTTTCATTCATTCAAAAAGTACGCTGCACATTCCTGATGCACATCCTTTATTTTTTACAGTAAAAATTATTCTTTAAATATTACCATATTATTTCCAAGAATATTCAAGAATCACCAAACCTTTATGCTGACAGTGAGAATTTAAAAATTAAATTATTTTTAACCTTAGGCGGTGCCTTCCTGCAGGAGAAGCAAGCGCTTTAAAGTAGCACTGAACGCGTGCAGGCACGGAGGTTTGTGTGTTTTATATTAGAGATATAATGTTTCTTGAAGAGGAGAAAGTTGAATAAAGCATACCTTTCTATGGTACATTGAGAAACATCTTAACTTCTGTGAACAAAGAACGCAGGAAGGATTTTAAATGCCTAGATTTGGGAACCAGTAAGAAAAATAATATGAATGTAAAGACAAAAGGACCCTTGGCGAAAATGTTAAAAACACTAATCAACTTTGCAAACCCGAATGAATTACTGCTTGCACCGGAAAGGCGACGGGAGGCAACGCGGGCAGAGTAGGGGGAACAGCGCCGGGGAGCAGGTAGGAGCAAAGGAGGGAAGTGAGACGTGGTGGCCATCAAGGATCAGTCCTGTGGAGAGAGGGGAGAGACGGCCGAACGTGGGATGCGGGTCAGAGGGCGTTCGTTGTGGCGAGGAAGACGCTGCGCCGACCTCGATGGCCTCGACGCGCCCCAATCAACGTGCCTTCGGCGGTCGTTGCCTCGCCAGCTGTGCGCCAGTGGGCGGGAGGCGGCCGCGCACGAAGAGGGCTTGTCAACTGCGTCGGCCCGGCTGCCGAACGCCCAGGCGAAGCGACGCCACGCCCGGCGCGGTGCCCTGACGGCCGCGGTCGTGGGACGCCCACCGGCGCTGGCGAGGCGAGGCAAAAGCCCCTGGCAGCGCCCAGCAGCCGGGCAAGCCGCCGCCCACGCGCTCAGCGCGCGCCTGCGGGAAAGCGCGGCGTAACAACACGCGGCGCGCATTAAGCGACGCTTCGAACACGCGTTCTGTTTTACCCGCTTTCAGTAGGGCGCGTGCTTGTGCGTTTCGGCTCCCCACGCGCCCCTCTCACCCCTGCTGCGTAATCACCCCCTCCCCGTAGTCTGCGCTACTACCGCTGCCCCGCCCTGTAGCGTTCGAGCATAAGTACTACTACCGCTGCCCCCACAGACATCGCAGATAATACGTCAGCTACATTGTTTCCCTTGCCATCAACGCATCTTCCAACCTCCCACAGCAACTGTCACTTACTCTCTTGAGCTTACTATCTCCCATGATTACTACTACTCATGCTTACTCTCCTCTCTCTCTCTCTCTCTCTTGTTTACTCTTTCTTAATCTCTCTCATGCTTCTATCTTCCATGCTTGCTCGCTTCAATGGTTATTCTCACTTATTACTCTTTACAATGCTTACTTTTCCCACACACACTCTTTTCCATGCTTACTCTCTCATCCCTATTCCATCATGCGAGTTCTCTCCATGCTCACTTTCTCATCCGCTTACCGTCAGCGCTGTTGTCTCCTAAGTCAAAATTCTTACCTCCGTCATCCTTTCTCTGCCTTCGATCATTTCCATATCTTATGTTAATTGAAACATAATATTGCTCTTTTGTTACGTTATAAATGGTGTCTTGAAACAACATTCACAAGGATGCATTAAATATTCGAATAAACCAACACTTTTTTTGCTTTTCAATCCAATTTTCATTCATGGTATGACACTTATGGCATTGAGTTCAGACGAAGTCTCTTACGCTATACGGAGTAATTCTTTGATATGACATTATATTAAAGTTACATCAGACTGACAACTTAGATTACGTTGTGCAATCCGTACCACAGTCCCACACTATATAGAGCGATGCTTCTTATATAATAAAATGCGGAAACTCAACGGTTGATTGATTGTTAGTGATTCCGCGCGCGTCAACTACCAGGATAATTAGTGCCGTTGCAGCGCGAACTTTGATTGGGAGATGGCAGTGGTCTTCCCTCCCGCATGTATGTTCCCACCAGCGGGTCGTCGCCCCTGCCGGGACAAGCTTCGTAGAGCATGTTAGTGTAAGTGGTGAGGATAGAACAAGAGGAAGGAAAGATGGCGCGCATTCCGAGGCAGTTTGTTGGAGTCCTTCATTCGTCTGGTGTTGATCGGAGAAGCTAGTGACCACTACTGATCAGAGCAGCCGGCCTCTAGAAGTCTCCTCCTGACAGCGACGGAATTCGCCCTAGCGGACAAGCTAGTGTCGGAAATCCATCACCGTCGGGCCTCTAACCTAGGACCTCTAGATCAGAGGGACTGCAGTTACATCAGATGATGCCCTTAGCCATCTCGTCCGGTGTAAGAGACTATTTCCACGAGATAGAAAAATTACAACAAATTTCTCAGTCTCAAATTTCTTCATGAAATTGCTAACAGATATAATACTTTACATTACACACCATAAAACATAATATCACCTAGCTCAAACCAAGCAATTACGTCGCACAAAATGAGGAACTGGAGAAATGTTTCAATAGAAATATATCATGAATTCACCATGAATCTTTCCACATCAAATCATCATAGGTCCCAATTCTGACAGTTTCAAATTTTTTCGAACTTTGTGCTCCTGAAGAATCTCTTAAAATATATGAAATGATCGTTTATGAAGGTGGCAGAAAGTACAGTTTCCCATTTAAGATGATTTAAAGTTCGGGCGAATCGCAAAATTACTGAACAAAATCTCTATTCGCCTAGAGACCTTCATAGCCGAGGTCGCTAAGGCTGAAGCCGCCTTCGCACGAAGGGTCGTGGGTTCGACCTGTTTGGATGTTCGTTTGTGTTACGTAACGTTCCCTATACTACATACATTACCCCGTAAATACGTACGTTTACGGGAAAGTAATAACGGCATAACCGTGCTAAATGCAACCCGCATCACACGTTAATATTGTTGACTATACATCTTTAAATAACTCTTAAACGAAGAGTTCAAGGGCATTAAGAACTAAAAGTATGAGTCCCAAGTTTTTGACACCGTAATCTACAGGATGAGATCTTCTTGAACATTATATTGCATTTTTACTGGTTACCATTTTAATTTTGATTCAATTTAACTAAATTCGCCTTCAAACTGCGATCCACACGAACTTCATTATTGCTGCTCGCTTCCGTGTGACCCGGGGTGGCGTCGAGAAGGACAGGGCGAGCTAGGAACGAGGTAATGTGAACGAATGCTGAGCTGAGAGGCGACAGTGAGGGGGCGATTGCTGCACGAGATCAACCACACGGTAATAGCGCTGATAGAATAGGAAGACGACGGCGAGGCGGCGCCATTGCACTAGGTGTTGCTGTAGAACAAAACTAAACATTTATGGCAAATGCAACCTGTAGCACACTCGACATAATTTTTTGAATCTATATCGTTAAATAACTCCTACATGAAGCATTCTTGGTTATTAAAAACTAAAACGTGGTTGTCAATGTCCTAAAAAAACTTTGTAACACCGCAATCTATAGGTTGATATGTTTTGAACATTCTGTTACATATTTGATGTATGGTGGGTGAGGGAGGAGACGAAGAGAGATAAAGGAAGATAAAGAGCAGAACAATGATTGCAGGGTTCCGCTAGTTCACTATATATTGCAATAGGAGTTATGCACTTTTGCGTTACCGCTGCCTGGCAATGAGAGGTTTTCTGCCAAACATTTGTGGTTTTCCGGAACATGATTAGATAACTCTCTTCTTACGAAGTAAGAACATAAGTAAGTAATTAAACATGTGGTAAAATGGGTAAGTGACTTTAAAAAAGAAGGATTGATTGTGGTTAAAATATTGCATATAGTTTTGGCAAGTTTTATTACAGACTTAAGTTGCTTTAGTACATTTTTCAAGTTGTAATTTCTCTTGCAAAAACCTTAAGAGAGCTTGGACTGAAACAAGAAAAAAACATTTTGTATCAATTTCTGATACAACTCATTTATGAATACATTTTATGATACCTATGTTGTACTTCAATAGTAACACACAATCCCAAATGTAGCATTGATATATTTGATAAATTCATCGTCAGTAAATGTAATATGAATAATAACAGCGATGGCAAGTAGATTTTCACGATGAAGTATATAAACCTTTGGGTAAATAACAATGATATTTAATACGCCTTTTTATTCTGAAGGATACAATATTGCAAATTTTGAAAAAAAAATCTGATGATCCGTGAAATATAGGTGCCTGGAATTTATACGACACTTATGTTTTGAAAAATAATTCTAGAATATCTACTGAAACAATTGCGAATTTGTATCAAGGTAAAACATCTAAAATGCTGTTTAATATTTTTTTGCGATTGATTTAATAATAAATCGGCGTGAGTTTTGTGTTCCATCCTTGAATCTTATATATTTCAAAAACTCTTTTCTTATATTGGGAGTTACTTACGGCGCTGGAGATGGCCAAGAATCCGTCTTGCTCGGAGTCGAGGATCTCTACGTACGCGGTGCCGTCGCTGTTCACTGTGACGGATTTGCCACTGCAACTACCGTTGGACAGAGACCCCGACGCCAGATCGCAGTAGACGCCCTGAGGGAGGCCAGTCTGGAAATTTGTAAGGAAGCGTCTTGGGTATATTCATGAAGGCTTATTCAACAGACCTTACTAGGACATTTCAGCACCACAATGTTTCTTGGATTATCTCATGAATGTAACATAACAAAATATATTTATTTCAGTTATGTTGACTGAACACAGGTGTTTTGTAGCCACGTACATGATGAATGTTGTATGATTTTTATCCAATAATAATTTTTTGTCTCTATCATTCAATATCTTATATTGGTGTAAGTACTGTAGACACTTATTTGCTTTCAAGAAAAATCATAAAACAGGAAAGACTGTTCTCACAAATTCTGTTTTTATGATAATTTCGTGTTTAATATATAGTGATGAAACACCCAAGTAGGGCATTCGAACAAGATAGCAGATGCCTTGCCAAGCTTGTTTATTATAAGTAGCAAACAATTTAGTATGTGACGTATGGGAGTAAAATGGAATCTGTGAAGTTTTATTGAAACCCAGAATGTCCTTTTCTCTTTTAGCAAATATTGTTGTATTATGAATAAACAAAGCAATAGGTACTGTTAGTAACTGTTTATAACAACAAACATTCCCTCCCGTGTGATCAGAACTGTTTGAATCAACATTACGTACCTGGAGAGTCTCCTTAAAGTCAGTGTTGTACTGGTCGTTAAAAGCCATGAAGCCAGAATTGCCACGGGAGAAGGCGATCTGTTGTTTACCGTTATCCCACCAATTCTCCACGGCGGTGCCTGTAATGGGTTGTACATTTAGTCAGTCCAGTTTGTTTCATTCTGAAATGAGATGTTATGGGCAGGAACACAGTAAATAAGGATACTGAGGATACTGACAAAAAGGCTGGAGAAATCTCTGAAGTTTTAATATCTTGAATATTGGATAGTATTTTTAGAGAGAATATTACCAATAAATTCTTAAAATATGTTTTTTCGAAAATAACGTTTTATCATTAATCATTCTTGATTGTGACCGTACGAATAATCCAAAACGTACGTCATGTGGATAGCAATGTCCTCGCCTACAATCTCTCGAATAGATTTGCATAAACTTGAGTTTCATTTGCGATGTTATGTATTGTACTTGACGTTTATTATGATTTGGTCTAGCAACATCACAAAGTGAATAGCTGTCTCAAAAATTGTATGCTTATAAGTCGTACTAAGCTAAATTATGCAGAAACCATTTTATGCAGCACAAAATGATCTCAGTATTTCTGACTGTTATTTTTCTCTGTATGAATTTTTTAAATCAAGAACATTAAACACAATAGTTCCAATCACACGTTTCGTTTCACAGTGATTATTGAAATTTATTTGTATCTTCGGTCATGTCCCTAGAATGGATTAGAAACTTATACATAAAGACGAACTTTACCCAGTTGTAGGCTTTCGGAGATTTTGTCATTTAGCACATTTAAGAGCGTAAATAATGGAGAAGACATTACAACATCGAAAATCCCGAAGTAGGGTCAAGTATAAATAGTTTCCCCTTCTTCTTTTAAAATTTTGATAAACGTGCCTGCCGCGGTGTTTCTGAATCCGACCATATTGGAGATCTGTCGCCAGCGGTGCTCGCACACCCAACCGTTGCCGCAAGTGCTGTCGCTGTTGATGGTGACATCAAGGATGTTTCCATCACTGTCAGCAGGAGGACCGACATCTCTGTCGGTGAAGGCGTAACTGGAGGTTATGCGGGTGATACCGTAAGGCCAAGACAACATGAAAGCGACTGCCATCTGGAATAATCACATGGGCATTGTAATCTAATCATAACAAAATTGCATTTGGCATAATTTTTCATCAGTGTTTCATTACTTGGGACATATAAGAAAATGGATAATTTGGAAGTTTAATTATATTATGACTAAATGTTATGAGCTTTAAGCGTTTATTTCTACAATTACAAATGCATTGTTATTTCAAGCTGTCAACTAATAATTGTTTGATAAGTGTAATATATTGTTTCGTAGAATTACATTTTTCAAATTGAATTGCATTCCATCTATTAAATACAGTTTTCCCTTTCTTCTTCTTCACACTTAGTTATTGGCAATTGCCTGAGTTATTTCAAGGACGTTAACCCAGTTAATAAGATAAAGTTATTAACCGATAAAAATCTTCAGAATATATTACATTGCAATAAAAGTTATTGCAAATAAGCTTCAGAAATGTATTTTTTATTCTTCGGCATTTTTTGCCATTTGCCATTAAAAACTGTAATTGAATAATAAGAGTTGACTGCTCTCACAGAACTGTTACCAGTGTAGAATATCGTTCCTTGTCAAATATGAAACTAAATATTTTTCACTTCATTCTCTACATTCGAATGTATTTATTTAAGAGAGTAGTTCAGTCTATATTTTATAACAATATTTCAATTAAACCTTTTTAGTTCATTATTTAAAATTCAGTCCAATTTAAGTCCATAATTTACATTCGAATGGATTTGTTTAAAACAATAAAGGCTTTTGAATTAATTGCATTCTCTTAATAACGTACCTTGTAAAGCTTAGGGGTTTTGTAGGTCAAGACATCTCCATCTCGTTGGGTGTCGTGGTTGTCAATAAATGCAAGCGCGCTGCTACTATCCAGCAGGCCCCAACCAGTTCCTAACAATTTATAGAAATATGTGTAGTTATTCCACATGCAATCTTATGAATTGTGCATTAAATAATACAAGAAAGGAAGTAGATAACAGAGAATATAGGAAAACAGAAAGATCAAGAAGGTAATAAGGAGAGGAAAGAGTAAAGGAGGAAGAAAAATATAGAAAGATTATCGAAAAAAAAAGACGTGACAATATGAACGAAAAACATAAAAGCAATAATAAGAGTATTTTGTTTAAATGTACAGATACTTACCCCAGTTCTTCAACCAATGAATGTCGTTATTGCCCTTGAAACAGTCACTAAGCATTGAGCCGTATTTAAACTCCGTGGAGACACCAAAGCTTGTGTAATCATAGGAATGAATTGGCTCACCGCCATCTGAAAACACGAAATACATTATTACATGCACTATACATTAGGATATGCAATAGCCTTGTCATGGAAGTATTTATAAGTTTCAATGAAATGCTGATGAATATGTTTCTGTACGCTATACATTGCAGACAAATCCTTAAACGCTGGCCAATATTGAAAATAAAGTAAGTTTTATTTATTTTGGTATTTTATACAATGCGTTAGTTAGTCCAATGTTCAAAGTGTCCCATTTCCTATTTAGAAAAGGAGCTTTCTTACATGCGCCCTTTGTCAGCGTTTCAAACAAGACGCCCCTTTGAATAATGAATGACGTAAAGAAAGGCGTAACATTAACGCTCCCTTCAGAAACGGCAAACTATGCAATTTAGCTTTGTTTTTGTGATAGATTTACACGAACTAATATGGCAGAACATTGAAGTTATAGTGCGGTTTGGCTCCGTGCGCTGCGATAGACCGCCAGTAGGGAAAGGGGGAGGAGGCGTGGGTGGAAAGAGTTCCTGACGAGGTCCCGAAACATTTCCCCAGCCCTGAATGCAGCTCGTTAGGCAGCCCCGTTCTAGAGCGTTTCTAATAGGTTTTATACCTTAAACAATATTTGTGGTTCTCGAACACACTAACAAAATCGTTCTCTGCTACTTTCTTCCTTAAGTGATTCGAATTTTGTTTGGTTACCTTAAAATTTTGAAGTATTTATTACAAAACGTACGGTCAATGACTTCTTGATAGACGAAGGGTCTGGAATTGCTGGGGAAAAATTCGGTGCTGAGGTCATCCACCTGGGAATAAATGTACTCCAGATCCGCCGGCCACATGTGTTTGGCGGCGTCGACACTGGAAAAATGGGAGGAGATAATTTTGTACCATCATCTAAAAAATATTTTTATTTAATCCAACTGTAACACGTACCGGAAACCAGCGACGCCATGGCTAACCAAGGAATTCAAAAATTCAATAATTTTCTCACGGACGTAAGGTTGAGATTGGTCGAGATCATGAAGTCCAGAAAGCTCGCAATTGCGGACCTGAAAAGAAATTGAAGATAACTAATTACAAATTTGTGAAAATATCATTTGTTGTTTTTTGCATTATTGTAACTGTGTTACCGCTTGTACGTTTTATCCAACGATCAAAGACTTAAAATAAGATAGAACTTTAAAAATCATCAGAGTGGAAAAACAACAGAGCCTCAGATACTGTAGTATCCAACTCTGGCATGGCTGCTGGGAGGTATCTAATTGAGAAACATTTCAATGACTGAATGAAAAAGTAGTAATTTGCCTTATGTACTACTACGTTAAGATGTCATTGTCGTTGTTTTAACATACTAATGCTTATTTTCTTAAGAGATAAAAGCAGCTTCTTATTTTGAACAATTTAAAAAATTGCGTAGACTATATCTAAAATAAACAATCTTGAAAAATATTTTACATGAATGTAACTGGTTAACATAGGTGGGCATGACATTGAAAGCTATAAGGATAGTTTTCTTTGTGTTTGTATTTAGCCATTATACGTTCCGTTAAAGGCAATTAGCCTTGAAGACGTTAGATCTCAGGGTTCCTAGTCGGTCACCCAACCAGGAACTTGCAATGTCTCGAATTCGCTTAACCATCGTGATTTCACATACACTTGAATTTATTTAGAGCTACCTCTGACGTTAATCAGCTGTTACGGTGTCATTCAATTGGAAGGTTGCCATGGTGACGACACTATTAGAACGCGTACGCTATCAATTGGATGACACCATAACAGATGAAGACCTGTCAAAGGAAGATGTAAATAAATCGCAGTATAGTTAACGAATTCGGTAAGCGAGCAGGTTTCGCGCTCATGGCCTTTCAGTAGACCCATCAGTAGTATGGACATGCGACACAATAGGTTAGCACAACTTACAACGGAGGCATCCTGGTAGTTACTGCCGATATCACAGGTAGAATGGAAGTTCTCAGATGTGTAAGGAACTGCAGGATAGTACTTGTTCTGCGGATCTGCTGTGTCGCCACCATAACCGATGGGATTTTGCACGTTCCCAGTCATGTGATTGAAGACGACATCGATATAAATTCTGTGGAAATACAGTTTCATCATGTTCAGGAAGTGTTGCATGTTTCATTGGTTTGTTGTATTTCAGAGGAGTTTAAAAATGCACAAGGAAAGCATTTCCCCTATCCACACTATCGTGAATGAGTTATTTTCAAATTTGCATATTTTCAGTGACGCATGTGCATAACAATGTGAACGATACTCTTTCTCTAAACAATTAAATGAAATATGAGAATTATATTTCTCAATATTAAATTAATGTGAATTTATATAAATCTTTTTGAAATATATTGTTTATGTTTCAAAAAATATTAAAAAATAATTTGATTTAGGGCAAATGGCAATTATGGCAATGTCAAAGTTACGTGGCATACATTTTTAGCATTGACCTTGCCAATACAAATGGTAATCCACCACAATCATAAGTAAACTATGGCAACAGTAACAGCATCGGTAGCCCACAAGTGTGCATAAATAAAATGCAATAATCAATCTCCAAATGCAATATATAAAGATAGGTATTAGAACTTCAAAAAGTGAGTGCTCCTCGACATTTGGTTGTTGCAGAAAGTATTCGTGCGAGTTTGTATACTTATTTACAACAAATTGTATTGAGTTACTTGGAATTAATGTTATACTTGTCCTAAACATGTTTGGTGGTCAGAAATGATAACTTTTTACAAACGTATCCGTGGTGAGAAGCTTCATACATGGACAATAGTGACATTTGCTCCTGGTTGTGGGACAACCCATGAAGTTTTGGTGTTGGGCAGGCATGCTAAATATAACTAAGTGCAACAGAACTAAAAAAACAGCGCATAACATGTTACGTATCAATCAGAGGCAAATATCACTCGTGCAACATTGCTACATGACATTTACATTGACACGTTTATTTAGAAAAAGTTATCATCTTAGACCCCTAAATTCTCTTGACGTTTGTAATTATTAGTTGGAGAATCCTGCATAACGTTGATCTTCTGAAACATATTTTCCAGCACTAGATTTCAGAGTATTTGTGTTATTGACTTGTTTACCTGACACCGACGTTGTTGCAGCGCCTCACCATGTCGGCGAACTCCTGCTCAGTGCCTGAGCGACCGACGATCTTGTAAGACATGGGCTGGTAACGTTCCCACCAAGGGCGGGAGGGGTTGTTATTTTTCATGTCAGGGCACTCGTTTACCGGAGAAGTCTAAGGGCGAAATTATAAATCGATTCAATATGTATTATTACATTTAGAAAACAAACATTCAAGTTTACCTAGTTTTGGTTGGAACAAAAGTTTGATTGTTCTCTGAATGAGATGGTAACTTGAAATAAACTTTCCAGTACAACATAAAAATGCCTAAAACATATTTTTCATGAAATTCATTTACTTATTTATTTATTTATTTATTTATTTATTTATTTATTTATTTATTTATTTATTTATTTATTTATTTATTTATTTGCGATTTTTATATTGACTATTTCTAAATTGTGTCTGCAGAATGTATTGAAATCATCAAAGTTCTCATAATGCCACCTTTTCTTGTTTCATGAATGTTCGACAAAGTTCTGCAACAACTGCCAACCCCTAGTCGGTATATATTATTACAATTTGTTATATAATTATTATATTATTGGATAAAAAACTATTATCTTACGAATAATTTGCTAATTACGTACAGATTAGTACCATCGATATTATGTGGCATATAGAGCGTATTAGAATCGCACACTTCCACAACAGTTGGAAAGAAATTCCATTTGTCGTGATCAGGTGGCTGGTTTAGTGGGTGACACATATCGCCTGATTGTTCTCGCTAATTCTGGCAGAGTAGGTTTTTCCGCTATGACTGACATAAGGTTGGAGTTCTTCTATGACCATGTTTTCCTTGCAATGTCCCAGCGTCTGTTGCTGTGTGACGATGAGAAAATTCACTTCTCAGGTTGAGAATATTGGAATTTGGCATGGGGATGTTTATGTGCTCACCACCCGTAAACACTTAATTCATGGCCGTGAGGTTCAAAAGTAGGTACTTTTACGTCAAGATGCTTCGCGCTGAACACAACCCCTCTAATACAAATTTCAGTGCTCACGCAGGGCTAGTTTCGTGTGCCTTTCAGTCCGACGTCACCGCCTCGCGAGGGAGGCAAAAGGCGAGGCCTCACCTGAACCCCGGCGTAGCCGGCGGGCGCCAGGAAGCGCTCGCATTCCGCCGCGATGTCGGAGAACTTCCACTCGAACATCTGGACGATGGTGTTGCGGCCCTCCACCCAGTGGGGGTCCTTCTGCTTGAGGTCGCGGTCGGCGTCTCGGGTGACGAGGGCGGCGGCCGCCAGGGCGGGCAGCAGCAGCAGGAGGGCGCGCATGGCGTCAAGGAGAGAGAGCCCGAATCGTGCAGATGGCGACCCCTTCTGGGCTTGCCCTGGGCGGATGCCGCTTATTTATAATGTTCCGCGCCCTCCCCCGCGCAATGAGGTGTGTGCTTCAAGGTGTGGCGTGGGCGCGCCGCCCGCGTCCCCTCCACGCCCGCCACCCTCCTCTCCGCTCTTCTCCGCCCTGCCATGCCACGCCTCACCATGCCCCCGAACAGCTGCACCTACAGCGCCCCGCGTGATTGGTGATAACAGACGCGTTTTGTTTACGAAGTCTTTCGCACACACATGTAGGTCTAGCGAATCTGTGCTACTTGTTAGCCTACGAAGCTTGTGTGAGAAGTAAAAAAGAAACTCGCAGGTAGTGTTAGAATTTCAGCAATCCTCTCTTCATTTAATGCAAAAGACGTGCTCTATGATTCACGTATGCGTGATTGGTGTCGTCACCTGCGTTTGTTTGCAGTGTGTGGTTGCTCCTCGTGCTAGTTGTTTGTGAGAGTCACGTCTTCTCTTTTTGTTCTTTAAGTAAAAAGCTGGTATAAAAAAAAAGGAACTCAAAGAAATGTGAATTAAGTGATGTGTTTTTCGTTCATGTTAAATTGATATGAATTGCGTGTATGGCACAATTTTGCGTAACTGAGGACGTTACATCGGCTTGTTTACAATTTTTTTTCGGAATATTAACTGGTATTTTGAGTGAATGAGGCGGATCCTACAAATATGCGTTTTATACTTTCTTGTATAAGTGTAATGTACGGTTGTGTATGTAAAAGGATATGTAATTTTGTACAAAAATATTCAGGATTTTGCTCAAGTAGATAGTTTGGAGACATTAAAAAAGTATTTTTCTATGTCTGTCTGGCCGTCTAGGAAAAACGAAATTGAACCATATAAAGGGTTTTCCCAGAATTTGATATTCCGAAATCGACGTGATCTAACTCAAGTCCATGCTAAATTAAAATGAATGTTTGAATTTCGTTGGCTACTTTGTATTGAGCCTTGTCGCTAGCTTTCGGTTAGCGTGCTCACTTTCTACTATTGTGTCCCGCGTTCGATTTCCACGGGAAATTCTGCGCCATTCTGTAGCACAACCACTTTGAGAACTTTCATCTGTTTTATGAACATCGTTTGAATTTCGAGTGGTCCCCCAAAAAGTCTGAAATCGATAGAAATAACCGTTTAAAGAACAAAGACACCAAATTGTAAAGTTAAAGCTTACAAGCAGAGGTGTATCTAAGCATTCAGGCGCCTATGGCAAGCATAGAACTTGCACCCCTGTCAAAATACTTCAAATTGGGGTTTTGTTAATGGTTTTAACGGGTATACTCTAAATACGAGCGTTGTTTGTGGCAATCAAGGCACGTGTCATGTTTGCCAACCCTTACATACGCCTCTTTTTTCAGGTTTTCCTTTTATAATCATTTTCGTGGAGTGCCTTCCAAAGTATGGAACCATTTGTTCATCTATTGAAAGATTATGAGAAAAATGTCATACTGAACACATTTTTTATTCAGATGTTCGATGAGTGGATGTAACTTAGAAACTTTATCGCTTTTGTGAAGAGAAGATTTGTCTGATACATGCAAATTTCTCTTTATCTCTCAATCTTTTTCGACATATTACTTTCTTTATCAGGTCCATCCCTTTGCCTTCGTCTTTCGACCAAACCATATCTTGTTGAGGAAAATCGTTATATCCAGACAGCAACAAAGTGCCTAAAAACATTTTCAACTCGTTTCTGAACATACAAAATTGTGGCGATTGCTTGAATTAGTATATTTTCTTGAGAAATCTGCTATTATTCTCAAGAGAGTATTATCCACATACAATGAAAATATTTCAAAAGGTGACATTTCACCATACTAAACCACAATATCTTGTAGACATGCCGACTCCACTGATGTAGAGAAGGCCCAATAAATAGAATATTCTGTTTTATTCCAATTTGGTTTCGTAGGAATATTTGATGTTTTAGAAATATTTACTTCACAGTTTGCCTCTTCATGTATTTTGAACGTCCCTGAGATGTCTTTTCCTGAAACATCCTCAGTAAGTAAATTATCATCTATATATTTTTGATCAGTCAACGCTTTTATTTCTGGTTGTATATAAACACTAAAAACATTTTCATTTTCCGAATCAGATGGATCCGATTCTTTCAGAATTGCAACAAGTTCTTCTACTGTCAGAGCTTTCACAAGATCTAAATTCTAACAAAAGAGAAAATCCGGGGAATATTTCAAAACAAACAAAAATTATTGAAAAATAAACTTTCCTTCAAAAGAGATACGTAACATGGCCCACATGGTTTCCATAATCTCATAAATAAAGTGTAAGTGGGAAAAAAGAACTTAATGAGCAATAAAACAGCAAAACCACGAGAGAACCGAAGAAACAGCCAATTACTCAATCTCTACGGAGCGCCTTACCATGACACGTGCGAGTCGGGAACTGCTTCTCAGAAAGATCACTGAGAGCGCATTTGTTACGAAAACGGAGCCATGAATATGATCGTTGAATTTCCAAAACTACTCTTTCAGTTAACATTATAGCGTTACACTAAGATGAAATAATTATTTGAATTTTTCAAAAAAAGAGCTCTCATTAGAAATATATAATATTATACGGTTGAAAACGTAACCCTAAATAATTCCTCGAAGTACATCTGTATGGTGAGAAAATAGTATAAAAACCTGCCGCACAACAGAGTAGGGAGTAAATAAGTGTCCAGAGTAATGCATTCGGAGTTTTATTTCAAAGAGACTAAGAAAGTTGATGTTGCGGTTTTGCACCGGTGGCCGTGAATGGGTTTAAGCAAAAGTACTCAGAAATATAATATTGTGCACAAATTGCCGCTAATGTATATATTAGCAAGGTGAGAAACAGTAAAAAAATTACATTTTCGTAAATTTGGAAAAAAAGACAAAATAATGCAATATGGCGTTTGCGCCATCTCCATCGTATTCCTACCAAAACTTTAAAGAAACAATTTGGAACTTAATAGTAGAAAGGAAATATTATTTTAAGAATGTTAAATAACAGTAAATCCTTGCCCTAAATGATAATGTTTTTTGAGAAATTCGAAAACGTTTGGATATTCTGTAAGTATGAAGTTACATTTATATATATTTAGTTAATAATCACGTATCATTAACAAATTTACTTCTTAATGGAGAGGATAGGATAATGGATAGGAAAAGGTTGGAGATTAACATGCGATGGTTCTCGCACGGGTAGGCTAGTATACAATTAATTACAATAATCATTACACTAATATTGAAAGACTTGAGTGAACACAATAGCCGTAGGCATTCACAGTTGGAAACTTGCACGTAGCTTGTAAGTTGGAGTGTGCAATTTGGCTTGATGCAGTAATATAGGTGTTGTGGTGTGATATCTTTGGCATTTTTCATAAAATAATTAAAGACGTTGTCATTGCCAACAATATTATTGTCGTTTTGTGGCTTCCATCCAGCAGACAACTGATGATGATGGCTAAGCCATCGAAAGCTGCTATTGCATTAAATAATATTGTTGGCAATGACAACGTCTTTAATTATTTTTTGATGCAGTAATGCTGAAATGGAAACATAAACATGAATACAATCACGTGCTGTGGAAGTGAAGACTGGTGAAGTACACATGCGCGTGGCACATTGATGTGCCTGGCGAGAAGGCTGTAGCAGTCAGCAGCTTGGATTTACCGTTAGTGAGTACTAGCAACAGCAGAAGATGCATCGAATGCTTCGGGTAGGCATTGCAGCACGATTGGGCATTGAGTTTGGGTACACTGTCAGTTAGGGTAAAATACTTTTCAAATGAGACCCTATTATTTCAAATTCTTTCCTCAGTCCCTATTTATACTAAATTTGGTGTAAGGACCCCTTGTGTCAGACACCAGCTATGCCACCAACTTAGTGGTGTAGCACATTGATTTCACAGTTTCCAACTCGATCTATATGACTATTCCTTTTACTAACATCCTTCCAGATGCTAGCTAGGCATTTGTTAGGATGTTGTTACTATAGGAGTCGGGGTCCTTTTGGAATAATCAGAGTACTCTCCCCAATATGTGTAATTTCAAAAGTGTTAATGGTGTTCATTTTCCAACCGAAATAATTTTGGACCATCTGTTTAAAGGACTTTCCAAATGTTGCTTCATTGCTATGGATTTACTATATTTTTAATAGTTAATTTAGCACGAATCTCAAACACAATATATTTTATTTCTGTGATTATAAAACTATTTAGTGATTAGATTATATGCAGACGTGTGAAAAACACTAATTCAATGACCACTAGGTTATTCAATCGCTAGTAGATGACGTTGTAAAACGACATAGAAACGCGTAAAAAGAGAAGCAGAGATATCACACTTGGGATAACATGTTATGAGATAATACTAAGATGCGAACGGAGTTATCTACTCCAAGCATTTCAACGCTGTATTTGTATGAAAATGTAGACTCTTAAAATTCCTTAATAAAATAATTTTCAAAATGGATTTAAGTCAACAAAGGCAAAAAATGAACATTTTAGAGAACTTAGAAATTCCAAAACTTTTCAAAAATACTATTTTTTAAAAATCTTGAATGAACATTCTTTAAATAGAAGCACTATTTTTTTAAATCTTTTATTGACTAGCTTCTAATAATTATTTTAACCTTACTATTTCTGAAAAATTCTTCACCTATTCAAGTGGTTTAAAATATAAACATTTTATAATTATTTTAACTAGAAGTTTTCAAAATCTTTTTTTTCTATCCTATATTAACATTTCTCTATGAAAAACAGTCAATTTTAAATCTGTTTTTGATTACCCCTTCTGCTCGTCTAGTTAGCCCTCCCCCGCTCCCACACACCTTAGAGAGCTTTCTCTTCTCCCCATTCCACAAGATGGCTGCTTCCTTGCTGTACCCAGCACGTTTGTCAGTTTTATGTATTTATACGACCATGCTCTGAACGTTTGTAAGTGATCCGTGTTGCTTGGGCAGTAAGTATTTTTAATTTAATTTGTTTATTATTTACTTCCTTTTATTTGTTAAATTTTTTAACATAATTGTATTGTATTTATTTTTGCACCCTTGATGTTAATTTTTCCATTATTGTTCTCCTTGCTAGTGATCCACTGAAGACGGGAAACGTTTTTTCCTGAAATTTTACTCTTGGAATGTGATAATTAATAAAATTATTATAAATTTGACTGTGGACGATTATTTCCTTTTTCACATTTTCGGATAGTGTTAGCAATTAATTTTTCCAAAATGGCGGGCCTTAATGCGAGAAGCCGCTCGCCCACTTGCGTAGTGTATAGTGCAAAGTTTAAATTTAATTATTTACAGAAAAAGAGACGAAGAGAATAGAATTTTGGCAAATTCAGTCTGTACATTACATACGGGGTAAGATACCGGCGTAGGAGCAACGAAGACTGAATGACTTTGCACATTTAGTTATCATTTTACGCAATTGTTTAAGTAGAAAGAACAATAAATTCTGTGCAATACAGTGTGGCATCACTAGTTTTTACATATAACTTACTGAAAATACAGTATATTTGATAATGTGAAATAAAATTCATAGTCTCTGAATGAATTTAGGACTTTGCAAAGTAAGCTTCTTCGTTTAGTATAGATAGAACTTGATATTTCAAATGCTGCTGTAAACCTAATCTCTTCAGGATATTTGCAATCTATCGGGGTCTGAAACCTTCATAAAAATGAATATAATTTTCGTGTCAAGGTTTCTAATCGTTCTTGGTTAGATTAAAATGTTTGGTACAAGATTTGGTACAGGAGGAAATGAACTTGAATTTAAGACTGCACAATTTACGAGTATACGGACGTTTGAGTCCACATGCAACTGCAATATTCAAAAGAAGTATAGAATGGTAGTAGGTTTTATTAATTTATTAATGTTAGACAATATAGTATTTCTCCTCGAGTAGATCGCAAAACCAACTTATAGTCTAAACATTTGACATTGTTATTTTTAATTTGTTGTTTACAAATTAAAGTTGCAGCAGGGAGAAATAAAACCACATTTACTTGTTAAAAAAATTTATATTTTAAGTTACATGGTTTTCAAATAAATGGCCTGAAATTATCATATTTCATCATAGATTAGCAATTAATTCTTCTAATTCTTCTTAATTCGCTGATTCATTATTCTCTCTTGAATGGCTTACAGCTTGGACTGGAAAAGAAAATTGAAAACAATAAGACATGGCATCATTCAAGGAATGTACGAGCGAGAGAGAGCTAGTCACTAGTCCTACTTACATCTGCGGAGATGGCGAGGAAGCCATCGGTCCCAGAGGACAGGATCTCGATGTAGGCAGTGCCGTCGCCGTTCACGGTCACCCTCTTGCCCGTGCAGCTGCCGTTGACCTTAGAGCCGGAGGCCAAATCGCAGTAGGTGCCTTGGGAGAGGCCGGTCTGCAAGACGACATTAGGCAACAGTGTGAATACATCTATAATGCATTTGTCTTGCTAGCTAAGCTACATTTAAGCCATTAAATATCGAATTTCATTAATAAGTAGCCAAACCCAGCAGACGTTCAACGTTTTCTTCTCTCTCTCTCACACACTCACTCACTCTCCCTCTCTCTCTTTTTTCCTCTCACCCTCTTTTCCTCTCCCTATGTCTCTGTCTCTTTGTCACTCTCTGCTTCTCTGACTCTTTCCATCTCTCTGGGACTATTTTCCACTCTGTGTATGTGTCATTTCATTATAGTAGTCGCATGGTTTAACATAACCATTTTATTGTTTACCAAATTACATTTTAATAAGCATAAGAGGAAGAGAAATTCAATTTGAAAATAAAAATTCATATATTTAAAAAATAAAATATCTACTAAGCTTAAGATTTATTAATGGATATTGGTATATTATTATTATTATTATTATTATTATTATTATTATTATTATTATTATTATTATTAGCCTATACAATCTCATGTGGGGCAAAGGCCTCCAGATTTCGCAGGAAAAATTTGTGCCGTTACCTACGTGTGGCCTTGTAACATAGCTCGTCCGCTGCCTTGTAACACAGTTGTGGTTCTGTTCAAGTTATCAGTTCACTGTGATACTTCACTATCCTGGGTACGCTTCTTATTGACATTTTCATTAGTAATAGCAACTTTAACTGATCGTACATTGATACCTATAGTAATTTGTTTGATATTCACCCTTTGGTAATCATTTACTGTTTTTCACTTTCTGTCATATTTTTCACCTGCTTAGTAATACACTTTTTACTTAGTTGTTATTTTCTGTCTATTTTCTTTTTTTCCTGGACAGAAAGATGTTCATGTTAAGTATGATCTCCACGACGACCTGTCTTGGGCCAGCCTCGTCCACTTGTTGCCGACTGCCTCCCTGAAGCTGCCCGACCGTCGTTTGTATTGCCTTTCGGGATGTCGCCAGCCAATTCTAGGTTACCTTATTGTTGTTGTGTGTAACCATTTTTGTTCGCTGTATCGTACAATATATTCACCGCATTTACACTTCGATTTTTCAGCTTCTTATGGTGCATCTTTTATTTTGGTTTGATTTTTTATTTTGATATTCTATCTGGTAATCATATTTTTATACTCATCATATTTCCTTGTGATTTGTTATTAATTTTGTCTTAAGTTTAGATGAAGTCCTACTTTCCGCCTTTATTTAATTCTTCTAACACTGTAGTTTTGTTGGGAGGTCGCTAGTGTAGTGATGTCGTCGGCAAATGCGAAGTTGCTTAGTCTTCATCCGTGAATTCGCAGCCCCTCGTTCTCCCCTTTCAGCTTCCTAAAAACATCTTCGAGTAAACTGGTGAAACTTTTGGTGATAGAGGATCTCGTTGTTCCGCTCCTCTTTTTGTTTGGGATGCTTCTCCACCAATATCAGTCTTGATCTTAGCAGCGCTGCTTCTGTACAGTGTATTAAAAATTCTGATGTATTTGGAAGAATCACACTGAGTTTGCAATGCTTTAAATGTTGGAGAATATTCAACACTATCAAATGCTTTGTAAAAATATATTATGTATAGGTTCAGGTTGTATTCGAGTATCTGGTTCATGGTGTGTAGATGGTTCATTGTATCCTTTCCTGAATCCAGCTTGGTCGGGTGACAATTGTTCGTCTAGTAAATTTGTTAATCTTCTATTTATTACTTTTTAAACGACTTTGTAGAGATTTGACATCAAGCTTGTTAGTCAATAATTACAGAATTGGTTCCTTGGGCCTTTCTTGTGTATGAGGGTTGTTGAACTTTTGAACCATTAACCTGGAATTTCTTCAGACTATTTCATTGAAGGCATCAGTTCTTTTGTGCATTTCCGGTGAACCGAGGTTCAGTAGATTATTTGTGATACCTTCTTCGCCAGGAGATTTGCCCGATCTTAAACTTGTAATTGCTGTTCTCACTTCACTTGTGATGATTTCAGGTACATAATATTCTGTGACGGTGTTATTTTCTTCTATTTCAAGTTGATTCTTACTATCGTAAAACTCTCAGTTGTATTCAGCGGCATTTTTGTAAATTGCCTGTCTCGATGTGAGTTTTTTGCAGAGCATGTTATGGACTCCTAGAATTAGGTGTTTGTAAATATTTCTTTCTCTGCCTTCTTTACTGACTTAGATTCCGTTTTTATTTGTACGATTTTGTCAGAGTTGTGCTTGTCTTACGTCTCTTTAGATCTTCCTTTTTACTTCTGTATTTATAATGTCTTCGGATTTTTTGTCAGGATTGGTCCTGTATGGTTGAAGTTTCTTTCTTGTAAAAACATTAGTGTTTCAGTGCTTAGCTTCTTGTTATTCCTTCTGTTGGATTATGGATTTTGGCATGACTCTTTCCCGTGCCATCGGGTAGTCTTGCAGTAAATCGTATTTCTTTTGAATTTTTCAAATGTGTGCTTTTCTGTGTCAGCGATGTTTTTCTTTGGTGTGGATTTGTATGTGTTTGTGGTTATGTTATAGGTTTCTGTTACGTGAGTTGTGGAATTTTCTTGGTTTCTTTGTGTTTATTTATATAGTTAGTATCCTGTGATCAGTCGAAGTTAAGGGTTCCAATCAATTGTATTTTTTAATACATTCCGTTTTATTGGTGAGGATGTGGTTAATTTCGTTCACGTTTCTTTCTTCTGAGGAGATCCATTTCCATTTACGGTACAGATTTCTTTTGAAGAACGTATGCGCAATTTTCGTGTTATGGCTTTCAGCGAAGTAAATTAACCTTTCCCCTCTGTCGGTGCGATCGCAATATCAAATGTTCTAAATGACATACTACCTTAGAATTAAATTATGTAGTTAGATTATGGAAGGCATCTCCCTTACCTGAAGGGTCTGCTTCAGGTCAGTGTTGTACTGGTCGTTGAAAGCGATGAAACCCCGGTTGCCGCGGCTGTAAGCGATCTGTTGGCTGTCGTTGTCCCACCAGTTGGTGACGCTGGTGCCTGTGCAGGGCAAGGGAGTGTCAATTCTCGTAACTTAGTTTTAAATGGAGGCAATTTGCATGGCACAAATAATAAAAAATGTTATCCGAAATATCGCATATAATGATGACATGACAAAATACATTATTGTACTTTTCCGTATATTGTTACATACTGCATGTGCGTTGTTGAAGTTGTATATTTTTGAATATTTTAGAGAGAGAAATAGTTAAGTATTTAATTATAATCTATTGGTCCGTATTGAATCTTTTCATTCCCAATTGAAAATGAAACCTTGTGCATTTCATTATAAGTTACTTTAATCATCCGGTTTCTCCTACGGACCACCGGGAACATATGTTTTAAAGTATCTGAGGGGATGGATTTTCAATGCCGTATAATCCTCAGTAAGCCAAGGAACGTACTTGGCTTGTAAACATTTCCTAGCAGAATGACCTGCCACAATAAAATACTCTGTGATTTACCCATCCAAATCATATGACAAATTCCTTCAGGCTGGCGATACAAACAACGCGATCTAGACCGGCGATGTGTCGGTACCTGGCAGCCTACATGGGAGTTTAAAAATGATTGGAAGCTTTGGAGAACTATCAAAATTGAACATGTCCAACAATACCGCATGGACAAGTTTCGAGAGCCGAGCAGTTAGAAATATCATTTTATAAAGATAGTAATCAATGTCCGATTCTGTTGGGGCCATGTTTTATCGCATTACCTTGGACGGTGTTCCTGAAGGCGACCATGTTGGAAATCTCGTTCCAGCGATGCTCGCACTCCCAGCCGTTGCCGCAGGTGCCGTCGCTGTTGATGGTGACGTCCTTGATACTTCCGTCGCCGTTGGCTGGGGGGCCAGCGTCGTTGTTGGAGAAGGTGAAGCTTGACATGACACGGGTCACGCCATAGGGCCACGACAACATGAAAGCGATCGCCATCTAGAATGGAACAAAAGCCACAATTTACACCGGGCATTGAAATGCTGAAAAGGTGATAACCAGTTATGTACCTGTTTTGTGCGGGAACGTGTAGTTAAAGTACAGAAAAAGGTTGAGTCTAAGGAATGTAACTGACATCCTGAAAAAATACTGAGACATAAAGTTGAGGAACTTTCTCCCTATTTCGTAAATGAAATCGAAAATCGAATGCTAGTTTTGGAACAACGTTCTTATTCTAAAATAAAGCGGTTAAAAGAAAATTTTTAGTAGCAAAATGCAACCGTAACTTTGTACTGACCTAATGGATGTTATGGTTATTTTTTTCTGCCATGTGAAGTTTTTTGTGTCATTTATCACTCACAATCCATATAAAAAGTAACCAAAACCAAGGAGATTATACTGTCGGGCTTAAAATGGTCATGATGTGCTCGAATTTACGATAAACACTTTTCTTAATTGTAAGTGACGTTGAAAGCAATCCGGAAATTATTGCCCACGTTCTTATCGCTCTGTCTTGGATCGCATACGCACCTTGTACAGTTTCGGGGTCTTGTAGGTGAGGACATCACCGCCACCGCCGTGACCTCGCTGGTTGTCATGGTTATCAATGAAAGCCAGAGCATCACTGCTGGGCAGCAGACCCCATTGAGGTCCTGGAGGCGAGAATATTGGGCAGTAAGTGTGATTGCACTCCCTACTTTAACTCGCATTACTTCTAAATACGTTCTAAATGATAAAATAAAGGGATAATTTTATAGAATGCTAGACAAGGGAGAATTAATTTTTTTGCTTTTTTTACGGCTTCGTCCAACATTGGATTTTTTGAAACCGTTACCTATAGCGATACTCCTAATAAAGAACGGTACTTGTGAAGAATCATGGAATACTCTGTTCTTATATCCATCTTCCATTATAACTTAAAATAGTCGTACGTTTCATAAATGCTTTGCAGAATTGAAGGATAAATTCATAAATATAACTAACCAAGCTTCAGATGAATCTCGAAAGTACGATCCTTTGAGATAGTTAAATGTTTTCGCTTTAGCCTCCTTGGCTGCTCAGATACCATTTATAAATTAAATATGTAATTAAAGAGTAATGAATGTAACGTAGCGCAACTGAAGCACACAGAGTACCGGGAGTCCGTGAGAGCAACTTACCCCAGTTGACCAGCCACTTGATAGCGTTGTTGCCCTTGAAGCAGTTGCTAAGCTCCTTGCCGTAGCGGAATTCGGTGACGACGCCGAAGCTGGTGTACTCGTAGTTGTGGACGGCCTCAGTGCCAGCTGCGCAATAACACATTGGAAGTTTAGACATCTCCCGCACGCATTGAAAGTATTTGTGGAGTTTGTTTCCAAAAGGTATAAACTCCAACTGGTGAAACAAGATAAGAAAAAATTAGTGTCGATAACATAGTTATTGTGTTAAATCACTATTTCATTTTGAGTTTCCCTGGAAGGCACTCCAGTATTTATGGAAAATTTAACTTTTTTCATTTTGTTTTCCAAAGGTACAAGGATTTTTATTTTGCATATGGTACGTTTTGACATATAAAAGTAGAAATGGTATAATTGATCACCAAATAACTATTATGATCAATGTTTATAGAAATATTTCCAATTTACCTCTTCATTGAAGCATATTTGAAGTATTAGAGATTCAAAAAATTTTGAACCTTATCTTTATAAGGAACTGATTTAATTTATTATAATTTAATCTCTGTTTTCAAAATCTACATCTTTATTAACTATATTTTCTTTTACTGCAGTTTTATTTTTTTGCAGTGAAAGATCAAATGGATTTGGAACGTCTTGCACTTGGAACGTGAATTATGACGACCTATATGAACGAACTGTAGAATACGAATTTTGGGAAAAATAGTGTTAGTTTATCAAATACACGATGTAAATGCTGACACTTTTAGTTTAATTGTAGAAAATTATAGATTTGGTACTTTTTGAAAACAAACTCCTCATTTGAAAACATTAAAAGTCAACCACAGCGTATGAAATGCTTTACTCTTGTCTTTGTAATGCGAAAGTACGAATTAATTTCCTGGTACAGCTTATATTCCCTACACATATTTAGCACTTTTGGAAATCATTGTAAGTTTACACTCTCCATCACACTACTTTGGGATTGTAGATTTATTTGCAATCTAAATATTAAAGACAATGAAATTATACATACTTTGGTCAATAACTTCCTGGAAGAAGAAAGGTCTGGCATTGTTTCCGAAATATTGCGAGTTGAGATTCTTCACCCGACCATAGATGTATTCAAGATCCGCAGGCCACATATGCTTAGCAGCATCCACACTGCAGAAGAAATGTTTAAAAACAATTATGAAGCTACTTCAGAATTTTATTTCTTAAAGGCATGTGTTAATAAAAGAAATCTTCAAATAAGGTCATGTTTATTTTCTTGAAAATAAATGTATTTATGTGTAATTTTGCGACAATCATAATCGCCGGCTCCGAATAGAGTGGGTTTTGTGAACGTGAGTAATTAAAGCACGATGCTTCGTAAAAATTAAAATATTTAAATTCCATTTTAAATTGTGGTATTTAATTGAGTTATATGTGAAAACGAATATATGATTTTGCTCTTTATAATAAGATGTGGGAATGACGAGTATTGCACGTAAATAAACACTGATAAATATAACATTATTATATTTAATTTTATTTTGGTGTCCTATTTTTTGCTAAGAGTATCAGAAATGCTCATTTTCCAAATGTATTCCATACGAATTTGCGGCCATTATTGTTTGTTGCAATACATTGTTATAACACCTCTCTGATAACAGAAGACGATAATGACAGCGACAGTTCGTTCGCGTGAATACATACTAATAATTTTATTTACGGTTGCAATAAGGAATCGCTCACGGTTGGTACATTTATGTAGAACGTGGATACACTGAATTCAATGGGCGAAAGCTAGTATTTTCGTATACATTTTTAAATAAAATAATATGTTTCAAGCTTTGTTTATTTAAGAATTTTTCGAATGGTAATTGAAGTGTACGATGAGAGAAATTGTCATTTATGTTGTATATTTAGCTCAATATCTTGTTAAGGAACGTGCTGTTGTAGCATCACAACTGCATCATATTTGATCATTTTTCTTAAAAAGCGTAAGAGGCTTATGTTGGTATGGAATGTCTCCAAAACAGTTGAGGTAAGCACATACCGGAAACCAGCCACACCGTGGTCCACCAAGGCGTTCAGGAAGTCGATGATCTTTTCTCGCACGTAGCTCTGGGATTGGTCGAGGTCGTGCAGGCCGCTGAGCTCACAGTTGCGCACCTGGAGGGCATACGTTACATAGCACGTACGGTCCGTGTGCGCACATTATCATACACGGGCAGTAACGGTTTCTATGCAAAAATGTTTCCAAATGTATGGAAAACATAACAGACGGGTCAAAAATATACTTTTCAGATATCGCTTGGTATATCAGGATTCCTTATTCGTCTTTATGTTTGTGACACAAAATTTAAATCGCTACTTTTTCTGGCTATAAATCATGTGGCGTTAATTTCGGAAGAAAGACTAGGTTTTCCCTCTTTAAGTCACTCGTTAATCCTCTATCTTTCACCCGCTGTGGTTTTGATGCTGTGGAGAAATCCATTAGGGTAACTGTGAAGAGTCCATAGATTAGATGTTGTAGATTTTATAATGACATATCATATTAGATTTCAGCCTAACCATATAGCTAAGTGAAATGTGTTGAAGCTTTATCAATAAATAGCGTAGATTCTTTTCATAAGTGAATGAGTGTGTACGTTACGGTTTAAGATCAAGTATGGCTAATATTCGAAGAAGCCGATTCATTTTCTCATAAGCCGAAAAATGTGAATAAATGTTTATGAGGGGGTATTAATGGAGGGAAAGTCCCGCTAGTCGACGGTCAGTCGGCGCCGGATCTCGAAATTCAGCGGAGCGAAAATCACCGCCTCCTTCTGTAGAAAAAAATGCAATACACTTATGGGGTCGATGACCTTAGTAATTGACGCGCACAAAAGCACGAACAGTGATCCGATGGAGAAATGTTTGCAGGGAAGTGTTTTATTGTAGTGGAGACTGAAAGCGTACATTTGGGTGGTGAAGGAAAGTTTATTTAAATGGATGAGAGTGAAATTGTCAAGAAGAAATATAACTGAAGAATAATAATAGTGCGAAGGGAAGTAATGAGTTATTTTAAGGAACTGAACGTATTGCAACGCTGGTTTTCACGGTTGTTGAAAATAGAACAAAGGTTTTTTTAGATAAAGGAAAAACTTTTCAATTGAGAAAATGTTTTGTTGTGTTGTGCGTTTATGGTTTTCCCTCGGAAGGTGACGGTGATCTTCCCCCGCTCGAAGTGAACATCTAGCGGCAACCTACCGTCGGCTAGCAGGAGCGAGAACCCAAAATAAATAGAAAAAAAGAGTAGATAAAAAGAGTGAGAAAAAGAGGTATTTCTATGTGAGAGCAAGGCAGTGAGGGGCGGAGCAGGGCGTAACATGGATACAATAGAGTGGATAGAAGTAGGATCCAACGAAGGGCAAAAGAGATGCAATTCCTCTGCTACGTAGCTTTAGCGAGCTCGGCTATCCCTGCAAACGGTCTAATACTAATGTAGCTACGTACGTTATTGGCGTCATTGTAGTTGGTAATCTGACAAGTGGAGTGGAAGTTTCCAGATCCGTAGGATACAGCAGGGTAGTTCTTGTTGTAAGTGTCAGCCTTGTTGCCGCCATAGCCGGTTGCGTCGGGCCAATTTGCAGCCATATGGTTGATGACCACATCAACGTAAATCCTGTGAAGTGTTTTTGATTTCTATTAAAATAAACATTTTATACACTTTTGTTTTGTGTAAGTTATGTCTAATTCATTTAATGAATTGGAACTAGAACATCCATTGAAATATGAAAGTAATATAAATTGGCAAAGTATTTGAGATTACCATTTATACTAATATGGCTTTACCCTTTACAAGCAGTTTAAGTTGTTTTGTCATTAAATGAATTGTGTGAGGTCCATTGTTTCGTTATACAATATAAAATCTAACTAGTGGTCCTAAAACAGCATAGACTTTCTCGTCCTTAGTAATGATTACATAATACTATTTTTACCGGACTTTCTGTCCGAATTAACACATCAGTCTTTATTTTTTGTAAAAGTCATTACAAATCGTATAAAATTAGGAGTGAAAACTAAGTATTTTCAAGCAATTTTCAACACAAATTTGACAATGGAAACTGCGTTTTAAACCGCTATATCATGATCCAACAATGAGACGGATTCACAAAACTACAACAGTCAAGGCGCGGGGCGGTATGCCTTAGAACTCTAATCTCTAGCTGTAGAACTCTAATCTGAAATTTACTGAAGGCTTGAAAATGAAATACGGGAAATAGAATTTGACAATTTACGCCAAACTATTCATAAAAATGCGGCAATTACCTGACTCCAACGTTGTTGCAGCGCCTCACCATGTCGGCGAATTCGGCCTCATTGCCGGAGCGGCTGATGATCTGGTAGGAGATTGGCTGGTAACGCTCCCACCAAGGACGAGAGGGGTTGTTGTTGGGGAGAGCCAGGTACTCGTTGACAGGAGAAGTCTGCAATAGAACAAAAACTTTTTTTAAAGAAAAGTGTAAATCGAAAGCAAACTCGTTCTTCTTTAACTATGAGTTTCAGAAATAATAAAACTACTATGGTGTATTATGCACAAATATAGCTAAAAAATAATACAAGTATTATTTAATAAAAATAATACGAATATTGAGTGATCTAACTGTGTTTTGGTAAAGAAAATATTATGCTATTATTCGTTAAATTGTTTTCTTTTCTTTTGTAGCACACTATGTATGAGAGAAATGTCTACAAAAATGTATTACATGAATAATAATCGCAAAGAGAGTTCGTAAGATACAAATGAAGTCGAAGATGTCAGCAAAATATCATTAATAAAGTTTATAGCTTGTCTGTAGGTAATTTCTCTAGTTCGTAAGCGAATTTTCAAACACTTCTGAACAACAAAACCAACTTTTTGAATTTGGAATGTTTGACTACGGAAAATGCTGTAAACAGATTTATAATGCTCTATGCTAAAAGATTTCAAGATTTTTAGAATTTTTTAAATTTTACTTTTATTAATATTATTTTTATTATTAAAAAGAGAGTGGAATTGGGAAGGTACGTATTATATCGAGCTGAGGCAGGCCAAGTTCGCGAGATATGGTGGCGGTAATACATGTTGATAGTATGTCTCCCTTAACCCCAGGTGTGAATAGTAAAATCAGGGTTTAGGACTGGGAACTCCACCAGACGGCAAAAGTCGGATCAATCCGACCCTAAAATACCAAATAAAAAGAGGCAAAGGAAGAAACTCGATGCAGTGAATAGTGATTGTCGCAGATCGGGCCGAGCCCACCCACCTGCACGCCGGCGTAACCACGAGGGCCCAGGAAGCGCTCGCACTCGGCGGCAATGTCAGAGAACTTCCACTCGAAGAGGTGCACGATGGTGTTGCGTCCGTCCACCCAGTGGGGGTCCTTCTGGGCGACGGCGACGGCCGCCAGGGCGGGCAGCAGCAGCAGGAGGGCGCGCATGACGGCGGAGGGAGAGCGAGAGAGAGGGGGTTGCGCGCAGTTCCGCCCTCGTCTGGCTGAGCGGGTGTGGTCGGGCGCTTTTATAGCGCGCCTCTGCCCCCCGAGGCCGCGCTGCGTGGGCGGGGGGCGCGCTTGTTTTCGCTAACCGCACCTTGTGGCGCTCTGTGCGAACAACAACGCCTGCGAACGCACACTTGATTGGTTCGCTCAGTTAAGTTTCACAACACTAAATTTACCAATGACTTACACGTGGCGTAAAATCAGTACGAGGCGTCATAGGATAATAGTGGAGTTGAGGATTTTAGAAAGAATGAACTTCGTTTATTATTTCCTTGATAAATGGTGTGATTGACATTATTTGTAAGTAGTGTATTTTTAAATATTCTAATATTCCAAACACTAACTACCGAAATACATTTCACAAATACGAGAGATTTAACATCTTCAAAACATAAAGAAGAATTTAACAATCAAAATGCTTTATTTATCTTTGCACCTTTGTCGATAAATTTCTGTAAATGAAGTACAAATGAACACACACACACACAAACAAGATTTTCGTGTCAAATGTGCTACTTTTAAGTTGCATGCATATTTATATTTTTGATTTCAATAAGTATTCTTTATTACAATTATTTATTTATTTTCATTTAGGGAAAACTGATTTTCAAAAATCAAAAGGCAGAAAACTGATTGGTTCCCTGAATTCTATCCTATGGGACAAGAATATAACTAAAATACAAAACTAATGATATATAGAGTAATAATACAAAGTGTTGTATCGTATGGTGCTGAGATATGGAAACTCTCAAAACAAATGAGAGCAAAACTGGATCACACTTCGATTGTCTGTTAAATCTGTTTAAACACTCGGTATTCTTCTAATAATAGACAATCACTATTAACATTGTATGCAATTTTAGGGACGTTAAGTTAAATCCAAATAAGGAACATTGATAAATGGGGAGGAGGAAGGAAATATTTAAGAATACATAGAGGAAACATTGTAACTTGATAAATACACATACAATCTTTGCAAAACTTTGAAAAATGTTACAACGTTTCGCAGCCCAATATTTGGTCGCATAGGAAAGGATAGCAAAGTTGAGGGTCATGGAAATGAACTTTCTTAGAAGATCCGCTGGCATCTCATGAAGAGAGAAGATACGGAGAAAGATTTAAAGGGATTATTGGTTTGAAGCAGAATGTACTGCACGCAATTGAAAGGAAACAACTGTTATGGATTGGACACGTGCATGGGATGCAGAGCAATAGACTTCCGAAGAAGCTTTCGAATTGGCAGCCACAAGCAAGAAGGAAAAGAGGCTGGCCGGAAATCTGCTTGCAATTTTGAGATTTTACTGTATTTTTCTGCCCGTTCACTCAGTCGCCCGTTGAATATTTTACAAAACAATTTGCTTAGCGCTGATAAAAGACTAATGCCATGATAATGTTCTGGGCCGACCTATCACATTTATTCTTAAAAACCGGTTGTAGGATAGCTGTATTCCACGTTTCTGGATACGATCCGGAATTAACAATGCTGTAAAACAAATCAGAATACTCTCTGGATCTGAGTTTCACAATTCCAAAATAAATTTTGTCGAAATGCCGTCATCACAACCTGATTTCTTGCTATTCGTGGCTAGAATAACCCTATTGATTGCACTCCATGTTAAAGGTTCGCCTAATTGAGGCACACTCCGATCAGTGAAAATATTTGTCCCTGTTTCAATATCCGCTATTGCGAGCGTTCGTGAAAAATACTGCACCGACGCGTCTGCTGAAATTACATTGCATTGATTTTACTACGTAGAGACTTTAAAACTTTCCAAATTGATTTGCTCTGATTGATCCTTAAAATTGCCTCTATTCTTTCTGACTTACATTCCTGCCAAGATTATTTCGATTTCTTAATTATGGCCTCATACTCTCTATGTAATAACAAATAACTATTTTGCGTTCCAACAGTCCCCACTCTTCTGAACTTCCATAGGGATATGTTGCTTCACGCAAAAACAGAATAATCTTATACTAATTTATGAACGAAAGAATAGGAACACAAACTATGGTAGAAAAACAATATATGACTAGAATAGCAATATACGTCCCAGAGGAAGAAAGGAAAGATAAAACAATTTAATTTCATGAAAAATTACAAGTGTTAAGTTATCAAGTAAACAAGAATGATTATCTTAGAGTTTTGGGATATTTTACCAGATTCGGAAGTGATCCTACCACTAATATAAGTAGAACAGAGAGCGAACACATTTTAAAACAAAATGGACATACATTAAACGAATTTGCAGTATACAATGAATTAATAGCAACAAATACTTTTTAACGACACTGAAATATCCATAAATATACATGGACTGCAAGAGGAAGTGCTCCTATTATACATGTTCTGGCAAACAAAAAGAGGTGTGCTCTAATAAATGACACAAGAGTGTTCAGAGGTCCGGATATCTCAACAGACCATTTCCTAGTCATCTCAACATTACAATTACCTAAAAGATGGAAACATGTTTCTAATAAAAAAGACAAAACTATTGACACTTTTAAAGTACAACTTCTACAACACCAAAGCATCAGATTGCTTTATCTCACAAGACTGAATATAAAATTCCAATCTACGCCAACTAGTAATACCATAAATGAAGAATGGAGAAATATTAAATAGATATTGACCAATGCTGCATTCGAATCATTAGGTAAAAGGAACAAGAAGTGTACAAGAAGGGGGCTTAGAGTTTGGGACAAAGAAATTAAGCAACTAATAGATAAAAATAAACAGGTCTACTTAAAACATTAAAAAACCCAAATATTTTAGATTTAAAAAAAATGTATATACAAGAAAATCTGATCTCGTGAGTAATAAAGCACGAAAAAATTAAACGCCCAAGATGGTAGAGAAACATAGCAGATTAGAACACGAGCTACATCGAAGGTAAGATAATGCTATAAAAGATTTAAATAAAGAAGCAAAAGATACGATAAGAATTAATCCCATACCATAAAAAGAATGGCCAAATTATTTAAAAAACCAATGAACGAATGATGAAGTGGATGCAGTTTAATGGAACCCACTGACAATGTAGACAACATTGAAATGCAGGAACTTGAAAAAGTACTAAAAGCTAGTAAAAATAAAAAAATCTGCAGGTTCATGTGACCTCAATGTAGAGCTAATAAAGTGTGCAAATCTACAGTTTAAACTAAGATTATTAGCGTTTCTAAATTCATGTTGGCATGAAGGACACGTTCCGGAACAATGAAATGGAATGAAGCATATATCTGTCCTATACGTAACTAGTGGTGTTACAGATTTTTCTTCTATGTGGACAATTCAGATGGACAGTGTTTTCTTCAATTTGTAAAAATCCTACACATGGTTTAGGCGCTAGTCGTGTTCACACATACCAGACGGACAGACGGAGGGACAGACACACGGACGGACAGACGGACGTTTTGAAAAATAAAAAACAAACACTTTTTCTGTGCCTGGGGTCCCCAAAACATGCATTTCCGTTGATATCTTGAAACCGATTTTTCTGTAGCATTAGATAATTTTCACTATATTTACGTATATTACTCCGTATATATACGGGAAAGTAAAAAGGGAGACAGAACGATAGGTAGTAATTATAGAGAAATAAGCTTAGTAAACTCTTGCTATAAAATCTATTCTAAACTAATAGTAAGAAGAACAAAACCAATCTTGGAAAACAAAATCTCAGAAGCCCAACATGGATATAGGAGAGGAAGATCTTGCAGTGACAGTATATTTACAATTACCCAATTAACAGAGAAAAGACGAGAACACAATTTTAACTGTCTATCGACTATAAGAAGGCTTTTGATTAAGTTAGGAGGACACTACTACAGAAAACATTAAAAAAGAAAGGAGTACCAAAACATCTATTAAGAGCTGTACAAAGCCTATATAGAGAAAAAGGATGAAAAATAAGGACCACAAAAAATGGAAAATAATGTGCAATCATTAACCAAGGTGTAAAACAAGGGTTCCCATTGTCACCTTCCGTATTTAACATTTATGTTGAAGTCATAAATGAGTAGCTAATAATTTTAAAAAGACAATTTATAGTAAATAATGTAAATATTAACACAGTATTGTTGCAGATAGTCATTACAGGCTCCACAGAAGACAGTATTCAAGAAGCAATATATCAATTAGATAATATAGCTAAGCAATATAACGAGATTATGTCAATAGACAAAACTAAAATCATGGCATTTAGGGAATGGGAAACAATAAGAGCAAAAGTAAGTCTTGGAAAAATGTAATAGAACAAGTAAATGCATTTAATTATTTTGGCTATACAATAACATCGTGACAATAATGATCTACTAAAAAACAATTAAATAAATAAGGAAACTTCTGTAGCACAATAGCTCGAACTTCGAAAAATAAAGTCAGAAAAGACACTATAATGAATGTCTACAAAACAAAGTCCCTACCCATGCTGTTATACGGAAGTGAATGTGCAATATTAATTAAACGCCAAATTGGAAAATTAGAATAAGGTGAAATTAAGTTTCTTTGAACATTAAAGCAGAATAAATTAGAAAAAATCTGAAGTGTGAATTACATTATTAATGCACATAGAGAAAAATATAAAATCATATATTAATAATACCCGAAGAAAGGGTAGGCAAAGTTGTCTTGAAATACAAACCAAAAGGGAGAAGAAATGTAGAAAGTCCACTGATAAAATGGAGTGAGCAGTTTTCAGGTGTCAGAACAGACTGAAAAAGTCTAATCCTTGCATTTGATCATAATGATGTTGTTATATAAAATTACAATATTTTGTCAAGGTTTTCTAGGTTCTCTAGACTATGTACGTAATATATAGAAATATCGCATATATAAACAATAAAACAGTGGCAAAAAACGGCGATTCCGAGCAGAAAACCTCATATTGAAGGTCGCAGATTCCGAAAAAGTGGAAACTTGAGGCATATTCCGGAAGAACTATATAAGCTACCAAATAGGCTTATGTGCTTTTCTTCTAGAATATGACTCAATTCTTGATCCTATATGAAGTCAATTCGTTGTTCAAATACACTGCTATTCGTAAAAATTGCAACAGAAGAAATGGTCGGAATCTCTTTGAAATTGGGGGATGTGTAGAGTTCTGTATCTATAAGAAGAGATAGAGATGGCCTGCACATTGACCTAGCAGTGATCTATTTTGTGTGGCAGATCAGGTCAGTGTTACGCCACACCTTGTTGTAGAGCCGTCAAACAACGCTGAAACGTGCAAGCAGGTGCCAGTATGCCTCGTTAGTGCGGAAGGGCGCAATATCAACATCTGAGTGAAGAGTAGAGGGACCTGTTAACCGGGAAACGGGTTTGTCATACCATGTCACTGCGGCTCGAACAGGACGCGCTGCTACGACTGTGATACGTCCACTCAATGGGACCACAGCGCGAACAAACCGCCATTTTATCTCCATTTCCGTACCGACAGAACGGCGTTGTCCACAGTGTTGTCTCGACTGCAACGGGTTCGGTAATGTCATCGTCAACGGTACAAAGTCGTCTGCTGAGGGCTGGACTGGTGGCGCGCCTACCACTGCGTCGGATTCCTTTGTCCACCAACGCCTCAGACAGAAATGAGCAAGCGAACGCGTTCACTGGCCTGCTAAATGTGATGGTGGTGTGAGTGGCTAAATGTGATGTTTTGAAAGAGTCCCGCATAAATTTGAGCTATGGCGATGACCGCGTACATCTTCTCTGCTACTGAAGTGATCGCAAGCCTTCATTATTCCGAGCCTAGCGGACAAACGCCAAGTGGGATGGTTTGGGCCCCATTCGCTACAATGTGCGATCTTACCTCATACGTATTGAAGGTAATCTGAACAGTAACCGCTACATTGGGAAGGTTTTAGGTCCCAATGTAGTGCCCCTCCTGCAAGCAGTTTCACACGCCATATTTCATGCGCACGTTCGCCTGATATGTCGCCCATTTAACATGTCTGGGTTATGATCGGTCGTCAACTTGTTCAATCTGGTCCACGCATATAAACCCATGGGCAGTGTGTTCCCAAGCAACATATTCAGGCTCTCCTGAATCTATGCCCCAACGTTTTTCAAAAAGAAAGATTTTCATAAAAAATTATTGTCTCCCATCGATTTGGCTGATGTAGCAAGCCCTTCAATTTCAAACATGTAGTGTTTTAAGGGTACTTTACGTGAAGCACAACAAAGATTTCAAAACTGTCCCAAAAATAGTTCTAATTTTTGAAATATACTTTTTCAAAAGAGATAAGTATGATTATAAAATGATTGAGATCTGATTATTGTTGAATTATCAAATGTTTTGGAAATTGCAAAAATTGAGCTCTTTGTTCCAAAAAAATCTATTCTTCAAAATCAGGCCTTTAAAAATAAACAATTATAATGACATTATTTAAAGAGTTTTTTTGCATAGTTTTGCGTGAAATGAAAGTAATTTTAGGAACAAGATTTTCTCAAAATACCTGAATTTTTTCTCGAAACTTTTTGAATGGAGAAAGCTAAACGGACTTAGTAACTTCAACGTTGTATTGATCTCATCTTTTAGTTTTTCAAAAGTGAAACAAATATATGTTTAGTATGTATTATAATATTTTGTGACCGTTAAAAATAATGTGAAGGAAAACTTTCATTGTTGAACCCCTAGTTTTTCTTAGGTAAATAATATTCAGGTATATGATACATGATTAGCAGATATTTCAGTACAGAGTCGATACATAATTATTAATACATTAACTATTTCCGTAAGATGGCGCATGCAAATTCAATCGTCAAAATAGAAGCAGCCCAGATTCTATTGGATTGTCGTTACTAGTACCCTTTATAAAATACACATAACAATTGCTGACATATTACAGGTCAAGCTTTTCAACGTATGGTACAAATATTTTTATGTTGTCATTTTAATACGTATTTGTCTTCACATCAACCAACAATAAAGTCAGATATGTAATTATATCTTCACTTGAAAAATTAAATGAAAATGAAAATAATTATGTGAAAATAAGATTTTATATTACAAAAAAATCGTGCATCGAAGGAGCTCATTTTATCTTCGTTACGAAAACAATACAAAAATAATCACTCGAGAACATAATTCGCTACACGTGCAGTGTACATGGGATATGTACTCAAAACAACCAGCTGGCTCCAGAGGCAGAGCTGCGCGTGTAACAAACAAGCCCGCTCCGGCAAGCACCCCGATTGGAGCACGCCCCAACACGCCTCTCGAGCCGTGCAAGCACACAAGTGTTGGTGCGGCCTTGACTCGGGAGGTGTGCGCTATAAAGGCGGCCTGCCAGCAGCGCCCGCAGCAAGGACAGAGACGCTGTTCTGCTCAGGCCTCCCTATGCGCATGCGCGCCCTTCTGCTCGTGGCGTGCGCCCTGGCGGCCTCTGCCGCGGGGCAGAAGAACCCCAACTGGTGGGGAGGGCGGAACACCATCGTGCACCTCTTCGAGTGGAAGTTCTCTGACATCGCCTCCGAATGCGAGAACTATCTTGCTCCCAATGGTTTCGCAGGCGTTCAGGTGAATACCCCTTACTTATTTATTCCTCACAAGTATTCAAAATAAATAGCGTATTAATGCTGAGAACTCTTCCTTTAAAATTACCCAAAAAATCATTTATTGGTAAATGGATATTTTTTTTAAAAAAAAGATAGAAATAATTCAAAAATATTGTATCTTGTACACAAGTAGTAAAATAGTAGTATTTAATGCCAATGTCACAGCAGCACATTCAAACGGGTGGGTTCATCTCCTCTCTCCCCGAAAGCCGAAGACTTATTTACAAGTGCAGTTTAAACTGATTTTCTATATTTACGACAGGTATTCATTATATCAATTGAATACGAAATAATAATAATAATAATAATAATAATAATAATAATAATAATAATAATAGAATACGCCCCACGGCGATGGTTAGCCTATGCCGAAGTTCACCGGGTCCTAACTCGACCGTGGTCGTGGATTTTTAAGGGTGAAAAACATCTTTCGTGTGCCTTCCTTCGGACGAGAAATAAAAACGGCTGTCCCATGTTAGTGCAATTTACAGCTAGTAAAAGATCCTCAAGCCTATATGAAGCCTCTCGGCAATCCCACTCTTCTCTACTAGTTGGTGAAAGAGATCTAGAGACATTTGCATGGTTAGACGGAAGAGCAGGCGTCGTAATATAATTCAAAGAAAGAATTATAAATCAACAAACAAAATTAAACTTTAAATTCAACATACATATAAAAATTCTCTGTAAATACATCAAGTCGGCTAGACATCACCACAAAAACGTCATTGAAGCATCTTAACAGGGATGTTTGTCTAATTTGCTTTGATTTATGGAGCACATGTTGGATAGAGAGCATAAATTTTGATTTTATTTTGTCAATACGTAGAGATTTTATGTTTGTTTAAATTTCTTAAATAAATACCGTCAGCAAAAAGTCTAGATACTTCCATAACAATCTGACTTTTGTGAAATCTAAAGGCGGCACCACACATGCGGCATTCGACGAATTCTGAGCAACCTCTCGCCGAATACTGAGTGGTGCGGATGGGTTGCTTGCGATTCGCTTAGCGCCGAACATTCGGTATTCGCTCTACCAACTGCGTGTCGGTTTTTGAACAAATCAAAAGGAGCGAACATTCGTCGAACACATCAGCTGTTCGGGATTGGGCGAGCAGTAGCTCGCTGCTCAGCAAATGTCGAATGTGTGGAGCTGCCATCAGATCGAAATTACATTTTTGAAACATATCTCGTTTTGTATAGAGATTTCAGCTATCCTACAACATTTAACTCCACTAAAAATCTTTTCCCATTATTACAACTTTGTATCGTAACAACTGGATCAAAAAATACTATTGTAGAGAACCACGACACAGAACACAAATATTCCGCGAACGAAAAGAAAAATTCGTAAGGCGACAAAGTAAATATATGGATATTTTCAATCAACAAAATGAGAATTACAGCCAGAAATATCCCTGCAGCACTGCTCACAGTGTTTCTCAGCACAAATTTAACTTTCTCCATAGACTTCACCCATCAACGAGTACTTAGCTCTCCCAGACAACGACCCCCCACGCCCCTGGTGGGAGCGTTATCAGCCAATTTCGTACAAGATCATCAGCCGCTCCGGAAATGAAGCCCAATTCGCTGACATGGTGAGGCGCTGCAACAACGTCGGCGTCAGGTATTTCTCTCTCCTATATTATTTCAGAAGTATCGGTGAGTTTCATGGCTCTCACACGCAACCAATATTTATAAATAAGTCTCTAAAGAAAGAGAATTTCACGGAGGCCTGGCGAATGCTACTTTAACTGTAAAAACCATTAGTGATTTGTTGAAAACACGCATTTACACATTCGTTTCAAAAGCAATCCACAACACTCGGTAGCGTTAAAATCTATGTAGTTGTATAACTCCAAATCAATGCGTACTAGAGTCTTTAAACCTGGAATTTATCGGCCAAAGGCCTGAAAGGAACGATTTACATTGTAATTTACAGGATGAGATTTTTCTGGACACTTTATTACAATTTGCTGGTTTGGCTCTTCTTCAGTCTACCCTATCTGATCGTAGATGTGCAGAAACGTTACCCGTATGTGAAATTAAACTAATTATTTGATATCGAATGCGACAGAATTGCATGGGT